AAAGCAGCCACAGAGCATAAAGTTTTGTTTCTTGGAGCAGGAGAGGTAAGTTCTGCAATGCTCTCTCATGAATTAAAAGTTAAACCGCATAGAACTGTACAAAGGATCATGGGTGTTCTATGTGATTTCTTACAGAACTCAGTGTATGAGGGGCCTATTAAATGTATTAAAATAAAGGAATTGCTTCTTTACAGAAGATTATTGTTTAGATTGAAATTTGGTTTTAACATTTACAGAAGGTTACTTTTAAAGGGCCAGATTCTCACTTCATCCACACGGATTTCATAAAGCAAGATATACCCATGCATCCAATGGTGGGTTTTGTCCCCAGAATTATAATTCTGAGAGAGAGAGTAATCGTTGGTTCTTAGCATAGTGAATGGAAATGTGCAATGATTTTCTTAGTAAGTTGAACTTATGGATGTTTCCTTTATTTTCAAGTACTTGTTCTTTTTCTGCCAGGCTGCTCTTGGGATTGCAAACCTCATTGTTATGGCTATGATGGAAAGTGGTATTTCTGCAGAAGAGGCGTATAAAAAAATATGGATGTTTGATAAATATGGTCTATTGGTTCAGGTGAGGGTCTCCCAAGCCTTTGGAATAACACAGTGCTTATTGCCATTTTATTTCCTTTCCTTCTCACAATCAGAATCAATTTAAATCTGTAGGGCCGAGAACAAAAGGTAGACGCCAATCAAGAACCATTTACGCACCAACCTCCAGACCAGGTGCCAAAGACCTTTGTAGATGCAGTGAATGTACTTCAGCCATCAGCCATTATTGGTCAGTGAACTTATTTCAGTGTCCTTAGATAATGTATGTTGTTAACTAGAAAATTTACCCGGCATTGCTCAGGTCCTTAACTCAAATAAGATTTGGGTTTTTTTTTTTTTCATGAAAATCATTGTTCAGGGGTTGGGATGAGGGTTCAGTATGCAGGATGCCCAGGGGAGAGAGGAAAACTCCAGATCTCTCTCATTGCAGCAGCTTGGGGCCATGTGAGAAGTGTCTGTCCATGGCTGCTGCAGCTCCAACAGACACAGCCAGGGGAGGGGTGCATGTCCCCTAGTAAGGGAACAGACAGACACAAAATCTCCACTCCTGCCTCTTGCTGGTCCAATGGAATTATAGCTGTTACAGTCCCCATCTGTGGCCCCTCATTGTCCTCCTGTGGTCATTCTGCAGTATAACTCCTTCCTGCCAGACTCCTCCCTTTCCATTTTATGAGTAACAATTGAATTCCAGGCAAATCCCATTATCCTGGCAAAACCAAACCCTGACTTTGCTTTAAGTTATGTTAAGAGAAAGCTTCATACCAAATTTGGTGGTCCTAGTTCTTGCCGTTTAGGAGGAGTTCTTGAACAAATGGACAGACAGGTAGTTGCACATTTCCAAAATATATAATGAGATTTTACTACTTTCACTGGTATACTTATGGCATAACCATGCATAAGTTGATAGAGCTACACTGCATTTGCACTGGAGTAAATGACAGCAGAATTTGGTCCACTGTTTTAAAATACTTGTAAAATGTCTTTGGGGCTCAGTGTATCATGTGCATAATACCTACAGCTCAGCTCCTTAGCTATGGCCAAGGAGCTCAAAGTGCAGTTAAGGGATGTGACTTTTTTTTGTTCCCTTTTCCAATCCTGAGTTGGCCAGTCTGCTGGTGTAGCTTAGAACAGCCTGCCATTGGCCCCCAAAGGATACTGCAGCTGCCGCTCAATGAGAAATAGAGAAGACCCAACTGCCCCCATTTCTCTTGTCACATTCCTACCTCTACTGAAAGGTATAGGTCAGAGCTGCTTTGCATGTACTCTGTCTCAGCACGATACCCCCTACACTGAAGTGACTTTTCCCATAGTGGGGTGCACTGACATTTGAACTAGTATCTGCCAGCAATTTGGAGCAAAACAGCTGCTGTACAAGCCTGTTCCTGATCCACAGTATTAATTGTGTCAGTGGATGTGTGTGTTTGTGTGTGTGTGTATGCACATGTTAATTATAACAACCACTAGCAGCCATTGCAATCGTTAAGGTTGCAACATGGCTTCTGTTATATTTCCATATATCTCCTAACACATAACTTTCTACAAAATATGGTTTTGGACTGAGTCTCTGCTCTGAGAGTGTACATGTGTGCATGTATAAGTCTGTATTCATTCTTCTGTATTTGTATCAATTGCATTAAATTGAGGTTAAAAACGATTGTGAGGAGGAGGAATCCTTTACTCCTAATCCTAAAGCCTCTTTCCCCCTCTTAAATAACTAACAAATATCTGAACTTTGAAAATTCAAGCTTACTGATTTATAGTATCTTTGCATGGGTTTGAATGTTGTAGGATTTTAAGTTTACAAGGCATTTCAAATTAGAGATGGAAAAAAACCCTTTTGGGTCATCTTGTCCAGTTCCTGACAGTGCAAAGTCGTATTCCAGAGCTCATTTTTTAGATTCAACTTGTTTTAATAGATGATGAATATTTGTTCAAAGCCTTTGATTTGTTTTTTTTCCTGAGCATGACTGACCTTAGCCGTGAAAATCTTGATGCACATCAATATATACAGTGTAAAGTTCTTGGAATCATTGTCCTTTGTTACATGTGTAACTGTAATTTGTGTATCTTTCAAATTATTTCAGGAGTTGCAGGGGCTGGCCGGCTTTTTTCACATGATGTGATTAAAGCAATGGGTTCCATCAATGAAAGACCTATCATATTTGCACTAAGTAACCCTACAGCGAAAGCGGAATGCACTGCTGAAGAAGCTTATACATTAACAGAGGTACATAATGATGAAAATGTGAATGCACATATATTACAGACAGAAAAATGAAATAAGAATGCAAACCTCCAAGCTTCTAAACTTGGAGATTTCTCCAGGTAAAGAATACAACTGCTCATTGTGTTCCAGTTTCAAATGCATATTTGGCTTGGTATAAATTAAAAAGTAGCTCTTATTTTAAATTATTACATTTGGCAAGTGAATATTTCGTGATGAGGTCTAAATCTTGTTTGTTTTGACAGCAATATTGAAATGCAATCATTGGTTACTAGAAGTAACTTCTGTTTTCAACCTTGACTAACGTTTCCAAGACTATTTCTAGCTTTTCTTTTTAAAGAAAGTTATTTTATGTAATAGTCATGACAGAAACTAGCTACAGCCTAGTGGTTAAAGCACTCTTTACTGAACATTGAATTGGATCCTCAGAACAGGGGATGTCATTGCTTGTCTCTTGCAGTCCAATGCTCACACTTGGCATTTAATTTCCTATGTATTTGAATTGGTCAGAACACTTAAAATTAAGCATAGCGAAGTGGACTGATTCTGATCTCTCTCACTCTGGATGTATAAACAGGCTGAACCTCTCTAGTCCAGCACTCTCTGGTCCGGCAACATCCATGTTTCCACATGATTTTAATCAGCCAGATGTCCACTTATCATGGGTGTGGCCTAGTTTAATGTGGTTCCATAAAGTTTGTTTACAGCTGCCAGTCCTTAGGGATGTAAGTGACTAATCAGCTAGTTGACTATTTGCTTTCCCTCCCCTTGCTGCCTCTGTCACAAAGAGGTAGCGAGGGGATGAGGAGGGGATGGTGAGGTGAGCCAGCTCTCCAGCTCCAGCTCCGTGGGAAGGGGTAGGAGTGCAGTGGTGGCATTCCAACTTAGAAATGTACAAGAGTCCCCACTGGGGCTCTTGTACATTTCAAAGCGGAAGCACTGCAAGGAGCCCCAGGCTCCATCCGGGGCTTCCGCTTTGAAATGTACAAGAGCCCCAGTGGGGACTCTTGTACATTTCAAAGTTGGAATGCTATGTGGAGCCTGGTGTCCCTGCGGGGGACTCCCTGCTGGCCCCGGGCTCCATCCAGCGCTTCCACTTTGAAATATACAAGAGCCCCAGGAGGGGCTCTTGTGCGTTTCAAAGATTGAATTGCAGCATGGAGCCTGGGGCCAACAGGGAATCCCCTGCTGACACCAGGCTCCACTCTGCATTTCAGTCTTTGAAATGCACAAGAGCCCACTTGGGGCTCTTGTACATTTCAAAGGCTGAACTCCTTACTAGTCCTTATTGACTAATTGAATAGTCAATGGAAATCCTATCAGCTATTCATTTACTTAATTGAAATTTAACATCGTTATCAGTCCTGGCTTTCAGTGTTGTGTTCTGTTATTTAGCTCCAATTTACCCATAAATGTCTTCTAAGAGCCCAGTAAGCAGTAAGCAGTGGAAGTGTTGGTAATGCTGCTAGACAATACTGACCTCCCATTGTTTGGAAAATTCTCTGATTCGGCACTGGTCAGGTTCTGAGGGTGCCAGATTAGAGAGGTTCAATCTGTACGAGTATAATTCAATTGATTTCAGTGCTGCTACAGCTAACTTAGCCCACTATCAGTTCAGTTCCAGCAGAAGCTTTCTCTTGCACAGTTTTTATGCAGCATGCACATAAGACTGATTTTTGCTTGAGGAAATGAGCAAAGAGGCAAGAGCTAGAGAAGAAAGAAGGAGCAGCAGAGCTGGGCTTACACTTGTGAGCTGGCCTGCAAAACAATTTTTTGCCATGCCTCCCACTTAAACCTTTTTGAATCCTGTCCTGTGTGATCTCCCCATCATCCATGGACTGGCATTGGGACTTCAGAAGCAGGTAGTCACTGAACTGATTCTTTGGAAAACATCCCAAACTTAAGTGACTCAGTAAAGTGTGTGGGGAGGGATCTTTAGGTGCTTCCTGTGGCAGAAATGTGTATTTGTGCTTTGTTCCTTTCAGCGCTGGGTATCATATTGATTAATAGTGCTGTATATGTTTTAAGGCTATTGTGCAAACTAAAGAGCTTGAAACTTACCTTTCACCCTTGTCTCCCCAATGAAAGCTGAGATTCTCGTCTGTCTTGCTAACTATCCACCAGGTGAGGCGGTCGGTAGTGGGGGCTTTGAAGGGGCAAACGCCCACTCTAGGAAGAGACCAAATCTGGATTTTTGGGTGCTGTATTTCTACAACACAAGGGAATTCATATGCACAGTTGTTATGCAGCATGCACATAAGACTTGTTTAGTCCCTCAGGACAATTTATTCTTTGTATATGGGCTAGTCCCCTGGTGCTTCTTAGGCAATGTTTTGGTGAATAAAATATACAACTCAAAATTCACAGTTCAGACACTTCAGAAACAGAAGATAGGGCCAGATCTTCAGCTGTTATAATTCAGTGTAGCTCCAATAATGTGTATAATGGGTATTTACCCACATGTGATCTAAATGAGGGTCTTCCAGTTCTGTTTCTCACTTTAGAGAGAGTCTACACAACAACAGAGATCACTAACATAACTAGTGCTGTTTCTATATAGGGTTGCCTGGTGTCCGGTATTGTACTGGACAGTCCGGTATTTGTGTGCTCTGTCCAGTATTTTCTGATTTTTCTGGCTGCACACTGGTCGGAAGCCTGGCGTGGGTGGGGGAGCGGCTGGGAATCCCAGCTGGGAGGCGGGGCCACGATTGCGGCCGGGAGCCCTGTCGGCCTACTCCTCACTCATGCGTTGCTGGGAGCCTGCGCGGGACAGGCAGCAAGTGCCCAGGTCCTGCTCCCTGCCAGCCAATTTGCTCACTCATCCCCCCTTCCCCTCCTGATGTTCCCTGGCCAGCCCCCTGCACCCTCCGAAGCTCTGCTTCCCACCGGCCCATTACTCTTCCTGATCTCCCC